TACATGTATAAGAACATGATTTACATTCATTCTTCACAATGAAGGAACACCAATTCTACACTTTCATTGGTCGAGAGCACTTTGCTATATTCTAAATTAAAGTACAAGTAAATTAGTTAACTGAAAAATAAACTTAATTCCTAAATAAAGCAAACTTTTGATAATAAACAAATAATTCTAAAATTATCTAACATACAGAAAAATAGATATGGAATACTGAAAAATACTAAAAAATATGTTAAATACATTAGGAGGGAAAATGCACCTATGACAGATGTTCCTTTGGCACCATCTTAAGGTGTTTATATATCACAACTTGTTCGCTATGCCTGTGTCTGCTGTGACATTTTGGATTTCAATGAACGTAATCTATGTATTACATTGTACTGGTAAATTATTAAGTTAGGGATTTCATTACCACAAATTACTTAAAACATTTACTAAATTCCTTCAAAGATATAAAAATTTGGTTTTGAAGTTTGGTTGTACCTGTAGAAAACTTATTTTTAAGGGGATATCACATCCTAATTTTTTACAGAGATGTTGTTTACCAAGACCGGAAATTAAGATACGACCCAAGTCAGCTTATCGATCCTTTAAATAAACTTATTCTAAAAGGTTACCAATTCAATAAGATCTTTGAATATTGTTTTTATTGGTATTAATATTGATTTTTTTATCAATTGATTAAAATCAAACAAAATATTATTTTGATATACATATACACATTTATGGCTCTGCAATCTATCGTTACCTGTATTTTGGCTTTGTCATGTTTATCTCTGACTGTTATGATGTCTTTACACTAAATCCATTGGATGTTGGATGTGTACTGATTGATATTTTAGTCTTAAGATGCATGATTTTTTTTTTATGCACCCGCCATAGTGGGGGGGGGGGGCATTAAGTTTTACCCTTGTCCGTCTGTATGTCCATACATACGTCCCAAAATTGGTTTCCGTTCTCTAACTTTAGTTTGCCTCAACCAAATGTTATGAAACTTATACACAATGCTTATTACCACAAAAAACAGATCAAGTTTGAATTTTGGTGGCGACACTTTAACCGTTCTAGAGTTATGTCCCTTTACAAATGGGAAAATTGCTGAATTTTTTGTTTCCGTTCTCTAAATTTAGTTTGCCTCAACCAAATGCTATAAAACTTATACACAATGCTTATTACCACAAAATACAGATCAAGTTTGAATTTGGGTGGTGTCACTTTAACCGTTCTAGAGTTATGCCCCTTTACAAACAGAAAAATTGCCGAATTTTTCGTTTCCGTTCTCTAACTTAAGTTTGCCTCAACTAAATTTTACAAAACTTATACACAATACTTATTACCACAAAACTCAGATCAGGTTCAATTTTGAGTAGGGTCACTTTAACCGTTCTTCAGTTATGCCCGTTTATATTTTTATATGATATGCAAGCGGGGGCATCATCTGTGTCCCATGGACACATTCCACATTTATTATTAGTTGTTATTGGCTTTGAACTAGCTGTCAGTAACTGCGAATACTCTCAGATCTGTACTTAATGTCTTTTTTTTGTGAGGATGTACAAGTACACTGCCATGTCCACTCTGTGTTTTTGTTAGATGTATTTCTGCTTTGTATTGATCTGATGAGTTAAGCCCTTTTCAACTGATTTTTATACGACCGCAAAAAAATTTTGCGGTCGTATATTGGTATGACGTTGGCGTCGTCCGAAGACACATTAGTTTTCGCACTCTAACTTTAGTTTAAGTGAATGGATCTCTATGAAATTTTACCATAAGGTTCAATACCACAAAAGGAAGGTGGGGATTGATTTTGGGGGTTATGGTACCAACAGTTAAGGAATTAGGGGCCAAAAAGGGGCCAAAAATAAGCATTTTTGTAACTTCCAGACATAACTTATGTGTTAGTGTATGAATCTCTCTGACATTGTACCACAAGGTTCCATATCACACAGTGAATGCTGGGACTGATTTTGGGGGTAATTGCCTCAAAATATTAGGAATTAGGGGCAAAAAAAGGGGCAAAAAACAAGCATTTTTCTAGTTTCAAGACAATAACTTGTGTGTAAGTGTATGGATCTTTCTGAAATTGTACTACAAGGTTCCATATCACAAAGGGAAAGCTGGAATTGAGTTTAGAGGTAATTGCCCAAAACGTTTAGGAATAAGGGGCCAAAAAAGGGGCCAAAAATAAGCATTTTTCTAGTTTCCAGACAATAACTTGTGTTCAAGTGTATGGATCTCTCTGAAATTGTACCACAAGGTTCCATATCACACAGGGAATGCTGGGATTGATTTTGGGGGTAATTGCCTCAAAATATTAGGAATTAGGGGCCAAAAAAGGGGCAAAAAACAAGCATTTTTCTAGTTTCATGACAATAACTTGTGTGTAAGTGTATGGATCTTTCTGAAATTGTACTACAAGGTTCCATATCACAAAGGGAAAGCTGGAATTGAGTTTGGGGGTAATTGCCCAACACGTTAAGGAATAAGGGGCCAAAAAGGGTGCAAAAATAAGCATTTTTCTAGTTTCCAGGCAATAACTTGTGTTCAAGTGTATGGATCTCTCTGAAATTGTACTGCAAGGTACCATACCACAAAGGGAAGGCTGGGATTGATTTTGGGGGTAATTGCCTAATCTAACCGTGTATTCAGATTCTTCATTTTTGGTCCCGTTTTCAAATTGGTCTACATTAAGGTCCAAAGGGTCCAAAATAAAATTTAGTTTGATTTTAACAAAAATTGAATTCTTGGGGTTCTTTGATATGCTGAATCTAAACATGAACTTAGTTTTTTGATTATGGGCCCAGTATTCAAGTTGGTCCAAATCGGGGTCCAAAATTAAACTTTGTTTGATTTCAACAAAAATTGAATATATGGGGTTCTTCGATATGCTGAATCTAACCATGTATTTAGATTTTTGATATTTGGGCCCGGTTATCAAATTGGTCCACATTGAGGTTTAAAGGGTCCAAAATTGAACTTTATTTGATTTCATCAAAAATTGAATTCTTGGGGTTCTTTGATATGCTGAATCTAACCATGTATTTAGATTTTGGATATTGGAATACCACAAAGGGATGGTAAGAATTGTCTTTGGGAGTTATGGCTCAAACCGTTAAGGAATAAGGTGCAAAAAAGGGGGGGAAAAGGGTTTCCAGGTTAATGGACAATTACTTAAGTACAAAACATAATTTTAAAGGCAGTGTAAGGTTGGTAATTGAAACTCATTTGAATATCTCACCTAAACTGCTTTTAAGTTATGTATATTGGAAATTTGCCAAAAACTTTATTATTAATAAATTCCATTGGAAATTTGCCAATAACTTTAGTTTAATGAACTTCATTGGAAATTTGTCAATATAAAATGTTGCTGATGAAGCTTTTTTGTTTATCTCACCTAAACTGCTTTTAAATTATGTATATTGGAAATTTGCCAAAAACTTTATTATTAATAAATTCCATTGGAAATTTGCTAATAATTTTAGTTTAATAAACTTCATTGCATTTTTTCTAGTTTCCAGACAATTACTTGTATGTAAGTGTATGGATCTCTCTAAAATTGTACTGGGGGGGGGGGGGGGGGGGGTTATTTTTTTTTCCAATTTTTTGGGGTTCATATTTTTTTTCTTCAAAGTTTTTGTAATCTTCAATTGCACAGTATTGTGCAATAGCAAGAAATCTTCAATTGCACAGTATTGCGCAATTTCTAAGTATTGAACAATAGCACAATATTGGGCAATAGCAAGAAATCTTCAATTGCACAGTATTGCGCAATAGCAAGAAATCTTTAATTGCACAGTATTGCGCAACAACACAGTATTGCGCAATAGCAAGAAATCTTCAATTACACAGTATTGCGCAATAGCAAGAAATCTTCAATTGCACAGTATTGCGCAATAGGAAGAAATCTTCAATTGCACAGTATTGTGCAATAGCAAGAAATCTTCAATTGAAAATAAATACAAATCTTTTAACCAATTTCAATGGGATTAATTTAAAGTCTTTAATTTTTGGGGGTTCTTACCTTGTATTACTTTTTTGGATATTGGGCCCCATTTTTAGATTGGTCTACATTGAGGTCAAAAGGGTCCAAAATTAAACTTTGTATGATTTCATCAAAAACTGAATGATTGCGGCTGTATGATATGCTGAATCTTATTGTGCATTTAGATTTTTTATTTTGGGCCCTGTTTTCAAATTAGTCCATATTAAGGTTTGAAGGGTCCAAAATTAAACTTTTGATTGATTTCAACTAAAATTAAATTTTTGGTGTTTTTTTATATGCTGAATCTAACCATGTTGTTAGATTTTGGATATCAGACCATTCTAGGTAAAATGAATGTCCCATTTCAAATTTTTAAGCTCTTTGACCACATTTATTTTGTGTCAGAAACCTATATTATGTCAAAAATTTGATCACAATCCAAATTCAGTTTAACTATAGTTGTTAATTTCTGTGTCATTTGGTCTCTTGTGGAGAGTTGTCTCATTGGCAATCATACCACATCTTCTTATTTTTATACTGATAGAAATAGTGAGAACAGAGGTTTTCCTATTACATAGAGAATATCATATGGCTTTTTCATTATCACACCTGTATCAACCTTAGACATCAATATAATCCCAAGAGCTCTGCTCAAGGGATTATATTGGTTGAGGGTTGATATGGTGAATGATATTAAAAAAGCCATATTATATACACTTTATTATATACATGTACTTCAAGTTAAACTTACTTATATGTTTTTCACGAGACATGAGGTAATACATTATAGGGATTTGATATAGCCTTTGTAACCATGACTGATATCGATTATTTGAAGTCATGCATATTAAGGGCTTGATAAAGCTTTTGCAACAGTGAGTGATATTGATATCATCACAGATGGCTGATACAGCATGATTGTCATTGATTGTAGTACACATACAATTTACTTGTATAATATTTACCACTAAATATATGATAAATTCTAATAATATTTTATTACATTCATCAGGGTGGTTACATGTTATCTCCATCTGGATATGCCCACATGACACATATGTTGTCCAGTCTGGCCAATGGTAGAGTTATTCTATCTCTTGAGGTAAGAATTGGTATACAATTAGTCAACAGTAATATACAGCTGTTCAAAAACAAAAACTGAACGAGTCGCAAAAAGGAGCAAAACCAGATATGTTGACAGGGTATGTTTCGTTTGCTATACATGCATCACCTGCCATCAAATGTCGCACTCAGTCAATGTCACAATTTGGAATAGGACACAATTTGTAAAATTACAGATCAGAAGACTATTCTGGTATCTAAATAGCTAGGGCCACAAAAACATATCATTTGAAGACCATAATATAGGAGACCATAATAGAGGTCTATATTATGGTCTATAAATTCTCAATATATACTGTAAATTCAGAAATTATTGCGAGGTTTTTATTAATATGAATAGTGCGACTGGGTTTCTATCGCAATAATTAGAACTCGCATTCTGATATCTGATATATGCATCTGTATGCAGAATTTCCTGAAATCGCAATAATTAATCTCGCATTATTGTCCATTCTTCATAAATCGCAAATAATAAATGCACGCAATAATTTCTGAATTTACAGTATGTAGGACTCTGAACTACGATGGTACTCCGAACTGCTATGGTCATGCTGAAGTGCGATGGTTGGATGCTGAAATGTGTTTTTAATAATGCTGAAGTGCAATGTTAGCATTGTGATGCTATCTGGCTGATAGCTACCCTGAATTGCGTTGGTGGTAACGCTGAAGTGCAATGGATTACATAAACTTTATTTTCAATGTTTTTCAGGTTCTCATGTCAATGTAGAAGTTGAGATTTGTTTGTTAGGAGCAGCTTTTCATGTTTTTAAGTAAATCACCGAGAGTATCATGATAAATAGTCATTACATTTCGTATAAATAAGTAAAACATTATTGTTTTCTTTGTAAATAGGCTTAGACAAAAATAGTCCAACGTTCATACAAGCGTTTAGAAATTGACCATTATAGACGCTATATGCAAAGATTATTGTCTGTTCAAAGCATTACTACTTTTAAATACTGAAAAACAAGGCAGCTGTTAGAAATTCAAATAAAACTTGCTTAATCACAACGACACAAAATTAGCAGCAATTAGCACGTAATAAAATAGATCATCGTATTTTTGTTTACTGCAACCAGAAGAAATATGAAATTCTTTGTCGGGACACAAGATCTATCTTTTTATAGTCGCTTTATCATGATGGTCCCATCTCGGATCACCATTTCAAACACTACATCCATGTTACAAGACAAAATGGAAGACCATTGCACTTCAGCGTCCCCATGGCACCTCTGAGTCCTACATATAAAAACTGAAATATAACTCAGGTATCTCAAAACTGATAAATTTCCTTTCTACCAAGTCTTAGAAAAAGGTAAATTTTCTTTTATTCATTAGTTGTCATTGATTGATGCCTGTCATATTTGTTTTATCAAAATGATGAAGTATGGTGTGTGGTTGGACTGGCTGCCAACAGTTTTGGTGTAATAACTTTTGTTTAAAGTTCAATTAATGCTTTTCAAATTTTAAAATGTTGTTACTGATGACAAAATGAAAGTCAAAATTGAAATGATTTGAATCTAGTTTAATTGCAAATCCCTCAGGAATTGACCATGTTACTTTTTTCATTTACTGATACTGTAACAGTATTAATACACACAAACTGGAAGTATTAAATGGATTATATAGAATCTAAATAAATAGCTGTTGTCTGCTCTATGGTCGGGTTGTTGTCTCTTTGACACATTCCCCATTTCCATTCTCAATTTTATTAAGTTGTGGTCCTTGGAAAAGGGAAATTGCTTTGAAATCTCAGTTTACGGCACTTTGTTATGTATTGCCTGGAGCACTTAATTAGATATTCGGTATACAGTTTTTGCATAAGAAACTATAGATCAAGTTTGGTTTTTTTTTTCAGGTTAAGCAATTTTTCATCAGTAACAACATTTTACTTATAAATACTTTTCCAAGATAAGTGTAAATGCAACCAATGTAGACATGACAATTGGTAGAGGACATTTTATTTTTTTTTTTTTTTTTTTTTTTTTTTTTTTTTTTTTTTTTTCTTTTTTTTTATCTTTTATTTGTTTTTCAATAGTCAGGATTTAATATACATGTACCCCTACACTACCACCTGACAAGGGTATCAAGGGGTTACATATAAAAAATAATTCAGTATACAATATATATCACTGACAAGTTGATTTTTATAATTATACATTTAGTATTTAAGGTTACATATAAATTTTATTTGATTATATTCTCTCGCACTCTGACTTTCTCTCATACAATACAAATACTCTTCACTCATTTGCTTTGCTACAATATGTACATGATGTATCTTGACTTACATTTTAAAAACAAAATATTTTAAAGAAAAAAAACAAAAAAACAAAAAAAAAACTCAAGGCTAAATATTTGCTCATGATATATAGATATTTTATTCTCTCACTTATATGAAACAATAATTAATTAAATATTACATGTAAAGGAGACCAAAATTTTTCACACACTTGGACTCTATTATTTTTCTTTGCAATATAATATTCAAGAAATTGGTATTTCTTTATTCTATTCTTTAACCCAACCATATTTGGTTTTGTTTCATTTAATTTACATTTGTATATATAGTTTTTTGTAATTATGACTAACAGATTCAGTAATAAACTTTCATGTTTGCAACCAAGAAACACATTCTCTTTGTTAAGAACAAAGTTTACAAAAAAAAGTTTTACTGCATTTGAAAAAGACTGCCACAATTGAAAAGTTATTGGGCATTCAAAAAAAAGGTGTTCAATGGTTTCTTCACCAAGTTTACAAAAAGTACACATCTTGGTGTCTTTTAATTTAATTTTGTATAAAAAGGTATTAGTTGCTATGATTCTATGCAAAAATTTGTATTGAAAAGTTCTTAAATAAACATCTCTACATGATTTTTTGGTTATCCTGAAATATTCTGACCATTCTGTTGTATCAATAATCAACAGTTCTTCCCATTTCGAAAACTTGACTGTTGGTAGTTCAATAACTTTATTTACTAAATTTTTATATACAAATTTGGCTTTCACATTACCTATAATTCTCTTTAAAAAAATATCACCATTATCAGGCTTATCCAAATCTTGCTTTAAACAGTTCTCTTTAAGGTATTTTTTCATAGTCTGAGGGATTCTTGAAATCAGACCATGATATTTGATAAAATTGTTGATTTTTACTCTTTCTTGAAATTGCTCAAATTTATAAAAATTCATATTTTCTTTATTAATTAGGTCACTTACTGACTGCACACCTCCTTGTTTCCATTGAATATAATATGGGAAATCATCCAAAGAAGAAAAGTTCAAAATATCTAATGATAAAATGTCACTGACAGAATTCTCAGTATTAGGTTTTGCGATAGAAAAGCATAGTAAAACATCCTTCCAGAAAGGATTTTTACATTTTTTAGAAATCTCAATCAGCTTTTCTTTCTGTAGATGTAAAACCCTTTCACCCCCATACTGTATAAGGTCTGCCAGTAACAACTGCTGCCAGCCACCAACTGGGTTTGACATCAGTCTTTTTATCCAACTAATTTTTAAATAGATATTAAAGGAATGAAGATGTACCATATTAAGTCCACCTTGTGAAATATCACCAATAAGTGTGTTACGCTTAATTCTGTCTGGTTTTCCACTCCATATAAAATTATAAAATAATGAAGTGAGCTCTGTTAACCTGGATTGTGATAGGTTTGGCAATGCAGTCATTAAGTGTACCAATTTCGAAAGAGCAAGTGATTTAACTACTGTAATTTTCCCCAATAATGTTAGTTTACGATGTTGCCAGCTCTTCAGGATTGCAGAGACTTCTTTAATCTTCTTGGCAAAATTAATTTCTGTGATACAGTTTAAATCTAAAGAAAATTCAATCCCCAAAAGTTTAAAATTTGAATGTGACCAATGAAGTTTTAAGTCAGGACAAAGAATCATATCTGAATACTTTTTGTTTCCAACCCATAGTGCTTTTGTCTTTGAAGCATTTATTTTTAAACCTGAAATTTTATAAAAAGATTCAAAACATGAAAGTGTTTCCCTCAACGATATTTCCCTTCCATCTAACATAAGGAATGTGTCATCTGCATACTGGCTTAAAAGTGATTCATTATCATTTACAGTTATTCCCCTTATTTCAGGATTATCTTTTAATTTTAAAGATAGTAATTCAACACCAATTATAAATAAATAGGGTGAAAGAGGATCTCCTTGTCTGCAGCCTCTTTCCAATTGAAAAAACTTAGAAGTATGTCCATTATTTATAACACAACTTGATGCCCCTGAGTATAAAGTTTCAAACCATTTACAAACTGAAGGCCCAAAATTAAAACTTTTTAAAGAATTTTTTAAAAATAACCATTCTAAGGAATCAAAGGCTTTTTCAAAATCAACAAGTAATAAAAGACCTGTCTTATTATTTTCTTCAAGATAGTGCATTAAATCATATAAAAGGCGTGTGTTCTCACCCATAAATCTATCTTTGATGAAACCTTTTTGTGTATCACTTATGACAAATGGTAAAACTGGTTTAAGTCTATTAGCTATAACAGCAGAAGCTATTTTCATATCAGTATTCAAAAGACTAATAGGACGCCAGTTACTTATATACTGTCTGTCTTTCCCCTCCTTAGGAATGCATGTAATTACACTTTGATACTGAAAATCAGAAAATTTTCCAACCTCGTATCCAAAATGAAGAGACCGAAAGATGAAAGGACCAATATCTTTCCAAAAAAATTTATAAAAGTCTACTGTGTACCCATCAGAACCTGGACTTTTACCATTTGTCATAAATTTTAACGAATCAGCACACTCTTTAAAAGTTAAATTTCCCTCACAAAAATCTCTTTGTTCTTCTGTGAGCTTAATGTTATGATTAAAAAATGATGAATCATCACAATCTAATTTTTTGCTTGAGTATAAATTTCTATAAAAATTTTGTTGTTCCGTTAGAATTTTTGATTGCTCTGATATATGTTGACCTTTATCATCTATTAGTTCTGTT